CGTTATATTCCCTCGTATCCCAGGCAGTGCGAAGCGGCGTGCGAAGCGGCATGCGAGCGCTGGACATGGAACGTCCTGGAGAGTAAGCAAGAAATGGGAAAAGCAGCTTTGATGAAGTAGAAATTTCCGATACCGATTACCTCTTCCCCCTGAGTAGTGCGTAATACTGTCTTTTTCGGTAATCGCAGTGTATATCAAGGATATTTCTACATCTAGGTTCGTAGAGTGGCATTGGACGACCAGTAAAGAAAGCACGTTTGATTGATGGCAACTTTCTCGACACATTCTCGTCGATCGAGGTGCTCTTTTCATCCTTCGTGGTGAGGACATGCAGCTGTTGTATGCCATAGCTATCAGTTCTGAATATCCATCGATTTGGTGATTTCTGGATCTAGCTCTGACCAGTAGAGCTAAGGGAGATATAACTCTAAAACCAGTGTCCTAGTGATTGACTGGATCCTAATTGAGAGGCCTGAGGATTGTCGGTATGTATGCGTTGTCCGCACAGAGTAGCCATTAAGGCAATTATCTTTGCAAAGTCCCATGATGTCTCCGTTTACTTAACTGCAGTATCTAGCTCAGGTCATGGTAGCCAAGCAGTTTGCCTTCAGTGATCATTCCGTGTTGCTTTGTTATTAGGAGCCCAGGTTGGCAGAACAGGGTCTTTTGGGCACAGCACGCCATTATCTCTTATGAAGGCACCACAGACTATATCACCGCCTTGTATTCCATGAATTTTCTTGTCAGGGAAGCAGCATACCATGAGCATCCCGGCGTATCTGGCACACTTGTAAGGATGGTTGTGTTTAGCAGAGGCCTGGAACTTATGAGTTACCATCTGAACCGGAACGACGACAGCGTCCATGCTGAGCACGTGGGGCCGATTAACTAGGGTTGGAATTTACATCGAGAGCTGTCCTTTCGATCGTGATCGTGAGCTTGGAACTCGATAAATCAAACCATGTAACTGCAAACACAATAGTGTTCAGCACAACCCAAGCCACCCCCAGCGCTAGGTGCGCTTTTCCGCAGCAGAAGCCTTCTTGTGACCGCGCACCTCGTCCTCCTGCATGGCCTCGTCGGTTTCCCATGACTGTCCGCTGCTCCTCAGAGTCTTCTGCCGAGGCCACCGGCCAGTCACAACAGGACCTGGCAGCGGTAACAGCAGACTCCCGCCTACCGCTAGAGTTTTGATGTGCCTTGACTTGCGCGATACTTGTCGTCACCGACTAAACCATACTGCTATAAAGCATTGAATAGCCTCAAACGTCACCTACCACGGTATTTCGTATCCTGATTGGGTAGGCACGTTGCAAATTCCCGCTCTCCGACAAGCCCGTTGTCCTCAACGGCGTTGTTTAATGTAAGCGTCGAATGTAGATAGTCAAAGGCAAGTAAGTGTCAGCGAAGAGTAAAACGCGCGAGTAGTTGACGACGAGGAGTAAAGTAGACAAGGAAGTATTGACTAAGAGTACAGCGTATGAGCAAGCGTCGACGAAGAGTAAAGCATGCGAGCGTAAAATGTTAGTCTTGTTTAGCGGCGCGCAAGGCATCCTGCACAACCTTCTTGCCGGCCTTATTGTTAGGGTGCAGGGCCATGGCCTTCTTAACGGTTGCCTCCGCGATCAAAAACGGGTTCAGATTGCTCAGTTCGTCTGTGAAGGCTGCCAACTGTGTGGTAAGCTTGTCGATCTTCCGTTGCATGTCTGCTGCACCTTGGATAGCCTTTAGTACGGGACGGGTCCACGGAGCAAGTATAGCAGATGTCATGTAGATCAAACCAGCAGACGATGCCACGTCTGGCGTTTCTTTGGGCATAGCCATTGAGATGACCAGGTGTCACACTCACCGCGCACCGTTGCAAGGTATCTTCGTCCGAGGCAGTCTTAACAGTAACTCCTCAACATTAACAATGTTAAAAGAAACGATACTCGAGGTCTACTTGACCTTCCAAGACACGGGGTCCTTAAGTTTCGTTCAAGACAGATTGACACTCTCCAGGACATGATTTTTAGCATGAATACGGAGCTCCTAAACATGTGCTTTCGAAATATTATCTGTGATTCACATCTTTTCCATGATGGAGAGATGCGGGACGAATTCGGCCACAGCCATCGCCTAGTTATTGTCATCGTTGGGTTGTATGTTCGATTGGAGTGGGTAAGCCCGAAATTCAAAGTAGACAATAAACATCAGTGCACCTATAACTGTTAAATTGTTCGAGTTGCAAGATCCATGAATTTGCTGCTTGATCACTGAAAAGTGGCTTTCTCACACCATCTGCAACGCTATAAGTTTATTAGTTGTTGAATGATGTGATTCCTAGTAGTTGTTGTAGCCATATGATCTGGTTTTCGTTTTATTCATACCTCCACCTAAGCGGCCACCTCCAGATGTCTGTGATGATCCGTTTGCCGGAGTCTGGGCACCTGTGTGCAAACGTTGTTTCAAATAGATACAACCTCCTTCCCCTGTGGAATCATGGATGATCAAGTGGAGCTTCGGACGGGCTATCCACTGTCATTTTCTGATGTATGAGGGCATGGAATACGGAGAGTATCCAGAACATAGGGTTCTTTCAATGATGTAGAGGAGATTGATATTTCTTCGGGACTCTACTTCATATGGGCTAGAGTGGTTAATTGAGTTATTGTTTGTATCTAAAAAATAAACTAGGCTTTGAAAATATGATAGTATTTGCTAGGACAACCGCGAACTCGGGGGTCAACAATTTGTGAGATTGCTTGATTTTATATCTGTTACGAATAAAGGCCAGTTCAAGTTGTTGGTTGGCAGGGAGGTTGTCAGAATGAAGAGAAAGAAGAAGAGAAGAGAAGGGGAAAAAAAAAGGTTTATATATACTATAGGGTAGGTGAATAGATGATTCTTCTGGGAATGATAGCAGCAGAATGCACTGTGAGTCATACATCTGCTTCATCTGTACCAAAACTTAGTGAATCGGCTCAGCATCCATTGAATCAAGCAATCAAATAGAATAACTCAAGGAATGGGAATAAAATTGATCTAGTCAATCATGGACCGTATTCACATCAGGCCATCCGAAGCACATAAAGTAAATAGTAGAAGATCAATCATCAGATCTAGCCACGGCCAAACAAGGTAGCAGACAAGAATGCAAGGCTAAGCGACAGAAACGGTTGCATTATTCGTTCAGCACAGCAGGACGAACACGAACCAGTATTAATACATTATAGTAGAAAAGAATAGGGTGTGTCTATCCCGATATCAACACCCAGAGTAGGAAGAAGATCTGCACAAGTTAGCTGCCATTCGACCAGCAGGTTGCAGGATGAGCTTACCATTAGGACGCCAAACATCTTGGCGATGAGCCACCGGTTCCCGGATACCCGCGTCCAGTATTTCAGTAACTCGCGATGCGCTCCCTGCACGTTATCGACCACGTCTTCCGTGTTGGCGTCTATCCGCTGGATCATGTCGGACTGCTCGCTGACCATCTGCGCAAGCTGACCGAAAATACCACCCAACTCGCTGATGGTGCGTTCAATCGCATCAATTGCCTCGCCACGCCCTTGGATATAGGCGTTGCTCGTCTGGGCTTCCTCCATGACCAATAGTTGCTGATCTGAATGCATAGAGGGGCGGCCGAGTGGGGATGGGTTCGAAGGTTCCAGAGTCAGTAGATCGGAAGCACCGCCCGGCTGAGGCGTCCGCCGCCCGGATGTGTTGTAGAGCGGGGAATCGGAGCGCTGCGTATCGAGGGCGGAATGTGTCTTTGAGGATACCGAGGACACAAAGTTTTCGGTTCTGGATCGCGAGGCCTGGATGTTCTTTGTTCGCACTTCAAGCACATCTTTGAAGTTTGCTCCCACATCCGCCAATTTTCCTTGCAGCATGACAACCACCTAATCTTGTTAGCTTCGTATCGGTCTTGATGTGTGTCGTACGTACATTGTCATTGTGCTCTCCTTCCTGGTCCGCCTTCGACCGATTGCTCTTGGGATGTTGTGAAAGTGTAAGCGCCTGCAACGAGGCGATTTGCTGATTCAACGAGGCGAGATCTTGCTTGATCACGAACGTCAACTCCGAGATCTCAACCGGTCTGTCGTCAAAGAGCGTTTTTCGCTTGGCCACTGCGGACAATGTTAACTTCATTCATCTAACCGTCTGAAGGTCACTCACACTCGGCCAGTCTCTGCAGCTTAGCTGTTGTTGCCGTAATCCCTCGTCCAATTTCCACAGCTCTCCGGGCAAACTCAGACCTTCGTTTGCCACCCTGCCCATCTGCGGAACCATTTGCTTGTTTCCGCTGCGCATCTGTCAAAAGAGCCTGGCGCTGTGCGCTAGCTTTGTTGGCGGCCATGCGCTTCTGGGCTTGACCCAGAATGGCGTGGAACTCGCCGGTACGATCTTGAATGGACGGGCCGGTCATTGTGTAGGTGGATGTAGGATAAACGGGGATTAGATGAAAGAAAGATGATTCGGTAGTCGGTCGCAATGCAAGCGAAGATGTACAGGGGTATAGCCGAATGCAGAACGAATGCGCGACGTGAGATTCCACGGAATCGATCTAATCGATAAGGAGACAACTGGAGACGTGTCCGTTGAGTGGTGGCGGTATAGCTAAGGTAGAACGAGAGCGGAGAGGCATAGATTGAAGGTAAAGTGGGAGTATTACAAAAAGGCCATATCAATCAACCGAGACCAGCATCGACCACCGTAGAGGCACGGGGAGAGAAGATGGAGAGAGAGTGGAGGAGGAGCGAGAAGCCGACGTCGCCAGCCCGTCTTCCGTCCGTAATAGGAAAGGCGGAGGCTCAGCCACGTGCACCCCAGCCACTCCAGTTTTCTCACTAGCCACAGGGGCAGCACCAGCCACTGGGTGCCCCAGGCGTCAGGCTGCCAACGGACCAAAGCGGCTTAACTGAAAGCAGTAGAGCTTCTCATTATTAGATCCGATGGAGTCTCAGGGGAACATCGCAATCAGCCTATCTTATCCCGCTGGCGATTAACTTCAACCAATTCCCTTCCGTACCCTCATCCCCAGACTCGTGTGCCTCCGTACCCATTCTGATCGCGATCGGACATCGCCCATCCCTTCCTTCGATACTAAGAATAACTCCATTCCACGTAACGCCGCTGCTGCGCTGCCCCGTGGCTTGGGCTGCCATCGCCATCCTTGCTCCCACGTCATCTGGTGCAACCATCCTCTCTCGTTCTCCCGTGTCTTCCGGTCAACCTCGCAGCACCTTCGCATCGACGGTCGCTTCTCCCATACGCCTCTCAACCCAGGTCTTTGGCATGTGATATGCCGATCGGGCACTTACACCGACTATTCTATTAATGTTCATAATCGGGTTGACACGCTCAGACTAGTCAGCAATGGCACGCCAGTTCCAGCCTTACGAGCCGGAGCTTCACAAACTGTAGGCCATGCGTATATCTTGCTTGCAGGTCCCCGCACATAACTAACGCTGCCCTGGATTTAGCTCCTCAACCACGTCCGAAAGCCCGAGCTCTCCTTATCCACGCGGTGGCACCCCGCTATCCTTTAAGCCGAATGTGAACCGGGCGAAAACGAAACGTTGGGTTGAGGCCAAAAAGTACTCATACGATGGGAATGATTGGGGAGACGATGAGTACGGCGAGTATGACGATGAGTATGAGACTCCGCCTGTCCCGCAGCCTCCCAGCATGAACCAAAGCACCGGAGATATCCCTAGCATGTTCACGAGAGACGTGTCTCGTCCACCCCTACCTTCAGTAGACCGGTCGAGATCCATGGACCAGGTGGCAACACTGGACGCAGCTGGTGCTGGGGCGCATCGTAGCCTCTCTGCAGACCGCATGGCGGCCGCTCCTAACAACAACCGGACTGTCCCAATTGTGCGGCCAGCCGAGATCTACAAGCGGATGAGGGCAGAGAGTGCTGCAAGACAACAGGCATCTGAGGCCGGATATTTTGTTGACAACCCGTCGGGTGCGGCGCCACCTGGAGCGCCGGTGTCTCAGGATACTGCGTCGACCTCTCACGAACAACAGGGAGCGGCTTCTCCCGGCGATCACATACTCCACCCGGCCCAGGACAGTACTGAGAGGCCGTCAGATGCTGGAAGCACGCCCCACGGCTCCCACTCTGCTGACGCATCTACAAATGAGCCTCCCATCATCCAGCTGCCAGATATGAAACGTCTTTCTGGATTTAATCCTGATCTCTCACTCGGACCCCATTCCAACGCCCAGGTAGATCCAGAGTCGGAGGGTCAGGACCATAAACTACAGCACAATCCTTCCTTGGGATTCCGGTCAGTTGTTCATCAGGCTTTCGATGTGCCCGAGACCCCGAGCACCACGGTGGACAGCATTGCTCGCTCTAACAGCGATAGCACCTCGGTGATTAGCCCAATTATACCCCAGCACAACCCGAGCGAGACCAAGACTCCTACGATTGTAGAAGAACCCGAAACCATCTCGACACCCAAAGAAGAACCGGGAAACATGGTGTTCAAGCCTGGCCACCGTCGAGATTTGAGCCTTCCTAGCCCGAACAATAGCCCGTCTAGAACACCGGTTATTGCTAGCGTCGAAGGAACTGCGCCGTCTGCGGTAGGGGAAATGTCCTCAAACACGCCAGACTCACCCCAAAACATCATCGCAAGCCCGCAGAAAGCAACGGTGCAACTACCACAGCCTGACGAGGGTCTGCCCGCACCGCTTAGCGTTGGTGGCAGCCATCCTCCCCCTGAGCCTACGATTACCACGGGGGATGGTGTCCCGGTCATCATTCCATCCTTCAGTACAGACAACTCGCCCCAGGATACAGAGAGCGACCGGCTGCGGAAGGAAATCATTCGTTCTTTGAGCCGGGAAAATACCCCATCGGAAGATCCAGACCATGAAGAGGAGCGCCGGCTGGAAGCACCGCAACAGGACAGCAGTCACATGCTGGATGAATACGAGCGTTATTGGACGAAGGAGGCCTTGCCCACTTCTCGCGAGGGTGACCAACTTCCTGGCTACGACAGTCCCTCAGCTGCCCTGCAGGATACGCCCGCACAGCCAACTCCTCTCATTGCTGCCCCAACAACTTCCGCTTCAGCCCCGAAGCCGAAGCTGACTAGACGATTTTCATGGGAATCCTCGTCATCTGGGGAGCCTGCTCCCGAGACGGGTGTACAATCCCCGCCCGTGCCCATGCCTGGGCAATTCCCACCCACCGAGGATCGCGCCCAGCTGACAGAGATAGCCCCCAATCCTGAGCCCGTCGTTGAGGAAAGTGAAGCCAAGGAGCCACCGTCTACGGAGAAGCCGAAGCTAACTATCGTGCCTCCCGTACCGGACGATCGAAGCATCATCTCCGATGGGCAATACCTGCCTGAAGTCTACAATGCAGAAGTCATTCCCGACTCTCATGCCGACGAGGGACCCCAGACAGGCTCCGACCGGCGGTCGTCGCGCGTCATGTTCACGACCCCAGCGACTGTCGAGCCGACACTGCTTGGTTTCCGGGAAATCTTGGCAATGAAGACGTCGGAGGAACGCGTTCGGGCTTTCAACGACACCCGAGCGAAGTTTGGGACCATTGATACGGGTCTTAACCATTGGATTTCTGTCACAGTGCAGACACACCCCGAACACAACGATGTGGTTGAGAAGAGCACGAAACTGACGACCACTGGTGCCAAGGCGCCCGTCTCTCGAGGCAAGTTCCCGAAATTGGCTGCCCTTGGTAAAGCTGATCTATCTCCATCCGGCTCGGGGCACGCGCGACGGCCCTCGGCGCCATTGGGGGCAATGATGAACAAACAGCAAGTAGAGCAACGCGGCAAAGAGTTGCTGCATACGGCAGGGGTTTTGGGAGGGCGCGCAGGCGAGGCCGCCAAAGGATTCTTTGCTCGCAGCCGGAGTAAGTTGAAGGGCGGAGGGAACGACAAGGTAGATTCTTAATCTCTTTACTGATAATGATGGGCGGTCTGGCCAGGGAGCGGCACGCTCGGCCTGTTCTTTTTTTGTTTCTTGCCTGTGTGATTACTTTGCTTGATACCACGCTGTAATTGGTCAGATCTCAGTGCCTCAGAATGTGACATGAATGATGTCTTCACTCCTCCTTTTCGGATTTATTTTGCTGCGTCTTATCGCCTCTAATGTGGGGATATGTAGGGATTTCAGTCCTCGCGCGGCTATCGTCGACCGGTGCCCCTGTCGGAGCTCCAGCAAGCAGCCGACCTGGATCCTGCAGGAACAAGGCCCAACCACCAGCGCCATAGCGTCCACTTTGGAAGTCTCCCGGTCGCCGGCGCTTTTCGACCGGCCGGACATCATCGGCTGAGCTGGGGGGTGAAGCGGAAGGAAGTACCCGGTTCTGATAGCAACGCAGTAGCCATTGGCGAGGATCGCCGTAGGGCATCCATTCACTTGGGAGCTGTAGCCCGGGAGTCTTTCCCGTCTCGCAAACCGGCACCCGCTAGTGATCCTCGAAAGAGCGTCGCTAACGATGCGCACGAACAGCAACAGGAGAGACTCGATGACAGCGGGACTAGCCGGATCCAACTAGCCCTCAATGACGCGCCACTGGCGACCCCTGGTCAGCCCGGTCAGGCCGGACAAAGCGTCTCGGGCCAATTGGATGGCGTGAGCGATAGCGACCAAGCCAGTGTTGGAGGCGATGCTGCGTTGCCCCCTGCAGCCTTTGTTCAACCTCGGCGGGGGTCAGTCCAACCATCAATCTCGTCATTGGGCACTCAGGATGCGGTTGCTGATCCTCCCTTCGCCCTGGCGCTTAACGGTGAGTGCCTCGCTCCCCCGGGAAGTGAATCGGCTGAACTTACGGCTGTCGCCCTCGCAGCGCCTCTTGCCTCGTCCAGTCTCTCTCTGCCCTCCATCGTCGGCCACCACCCCGACACGGAGATGGATGCGACCGGCAATGATCGGTCTTTGCTGCGTCCGCTCAACGGTCGTCATCCACCTTCGGGTCACTTGCGAGTAAGCAGCATGTCGTCGCTGAGACCGAGCCGACCGTCGAGTCGGAATGCGACCTCAGGAGCGAATTCCCGATCGCAGGATTCCACCCCGCACGCGCGCCTGGCCGCCCTGAAGATGAAATACGGCGACAAAATCCGGGACATTCGTCGCATCTCCTTGGGTCCCAGCAGCCCATCGTCGGACCAGAAGCCGCCGCTTCTGGATCGATTGACAGTATGTCGCTGTCTTTATTGAGTGGATGAAAGTTTTGAAGGTTAACTGAACGTGATCCAGGGCCTCTTCCGCACCAACCTTCGTCCCCACCAACCCAAATCAAGGCAATCCAACCAAGCTTCCAGACCTGAAACCCCCATCCAGCGCTCCACGACGGCCTCCCCATCGCGTCCAATAAACCACACATCCAGTCATACCCGCTTCTATTCCCTCGATCACGCCCTCCCCAATGCCAGCAACAGTCTTTCCCATCTGCCGCCGAGTCTTCCCCGCATCCCCACCCCAGATTCCTTCCGCCAGGCCCAGAACCAAGCCATTTTCGTCCCGCATGCTTCCACCCCTACTCTTCATAATACTTCATCCATTTCAGACGACTATCTCTATAGCAGCAAAACTGTATATGAACCAAGTCACACTCCCACTAATGGTTCTCCAGAGCGCGGTCGAACCACCTCCCGCACGTACGTGCAGGAACTGCACCTCCGATCCCGCAGTCCCAAGGAAAGCGCGCCCCGACCGGAGGAGACAACTCTACCAAATACCGATGCGACTGACCCGGCGATTGAGCTGGGGCGGTTCGCACGCAAACCGCGGACTAGTCGAGTGGGCGATCAAGAATTGCCGTGGAAGTTGAGTCTGTCCGGACTGGGTGGTGATCCTGACGAGCATGTTGAGAACGAGGTAACGGTCGAAGAGAGAGACAGAGCACGGAGGGAGGCCAGCAATATACTCGAATTTGCCATCGCTGCCACTACCATCGATCAATCTCACATGCGGAACCCAGAGCCGACACGAGAGACCTCATTTGGAGTTTCACCCTCTCCCCTATCCACAATTCCAGAATCAGTCGCATCTCCTTCAATCGTGTCCCCATCCGAGCTTCCACCTCGCGACAACTCGTCTACGACAGCGCAAGTCTCATTCTCTGACGCTCAATCACGCGTCTCTCCGTCACCGTCCCCTACACCAAACCCGGATACAGAGGTCAAGACCGCAAGCTTATGCCGAGAACCCCAATGCATCAATACTCCTCCAACAGCAGACTCCAATCCCTCCCTCACCACAATAGAAATAGAATCCGGAGCCCGCACAGTATCCAACGGCCCCACTCCCAGTACACAGACAAACTCAAATCTAAGCAGCCATCCCCACCGCCCCGCCCCACCCCGAGCCCTTGTCTCCACTCCCGTTGAACTCCCTGTCCCCTCAGCAGACGGGGGAGAAGATCACGATAATGCCAGTGATGCTTCCAGCGAACCCGAGATTGTCATGTCAAGTACGGCATATCCGGGACAGGAGTGGAGGCCGGTCGGATACATGGGATATGAATCGGGGATATAGTCTGAATTAATCGATTGATCTTATGGTTTTTTTGCTGCTGTGTCTAACCTTAATCCTTTTGATTTGACCTGTACAGTGCAAGTGTTTCCGGGGGAATGCGAATAAGCTAATAGTGGTGATTTGTGAATTTGATCGTGATGGTGATTGCGGATGGAGATACCCACGTTGTGTCATACTTGCCTTTTGTCAGATAGTTAGTACTGCTAGTAACCTATAGTATATCATCCCGCACTTGATCTAAGGAGTTGCTTGACCTATGCGGATTTCTCTTATCTACTGCTGCTGCTTATGATAGTGGTATTGGTTGCACGAAGCTGTTATGTATGCGTGCCCAATCAATCCTTTCGACAGATTGTTGAATTCAGATGAAGCTGCAGCCATAAGGCTTAGTCGTACACTATGAACAATATTCACCAGCCCTGCTAAAATACCCTGCAGCAGAACATGTACCAATGCTTTATACCAAAGTAAACTCCTCTTCGACTAGGTGTCCCTCATTCATCATCTGGATTGCCTCCCCGTCCATAATGCCATGCACGTAACTCTCACCAATGAAGATATAGTGAGACCCTTGCTTGCGGAGAATAACAGGCACAGAACAACCGAACAGAACACATACGAAATCTCCTTCCTGAGTCTTTTGCGGCACCAGGCCTATGTAACCCTTTGAGGAGATCATCAGCCGACGGTATGAGGTTGCGCGCTCAATAGCGGAATGGAGCATTGACACACCAAGGCAGTATGCCTCTAAGAACACTTTGTCAAGGACATAGCCAATATCGTCCTCTTCAGTGGCTTCATCACTTGGTGCAGATTGACTTTCAACGAATTCATCCAGATACAGGGGGTCATGCATACCCTCCGTCCTGTAGCCAAAGACAAATGTATCCGCGATCAATGTTCGGAGGTATGCATGGGCCAGCGAGCCCCCACCGACATAGTCACGGCCAGTTGTTGATTCCCTTATGTTTTTCGTCAACTTGATCGACATTGAAACAAAGCTTTTTTTATGTAGATTTTCATTCGACAACGGCTCCCCCCTTTTCGTAAGAGCTCCAAACTTGTGAAGTGCATATATCCAGCTTGAGATTTCCGGGATATGGGTTGTGGTCTCAAAATACGATGTTAAGAGGGCCACCCACGGATCGGGTCTCGGTGAAGACCATGCTCCGTGTTTATCAGGCTCATATGTTACTGCCAGACAATCAATGGTATCAACTTAAATGCCTGCAGCTTTTAGAGCCGGCACGTCGAGAAGCAATCTATATTCAGGAGACCTTGACCGAGATGCGTCATAGTCGGATGGGTGGGTATTCCAAGTTTTTTTGATAAAGAATTGCTGTCCACCTGCGACCAAGCCAACCAAGGGGCTCGCAATGTTGGAGCTTTCACTCGAGTAAACTTCCCAGTCAGGTACCCAAGATGGCCACCTAGGCTTCTCGCTTCCTTGGCTCATGCATATTATATCCATACCCCAATCCCTGATAGAATGCACGACAAGCCCAAGGCACACATCAAGTATCATGTTATTCACCGAATAGTCAGGATGTATAGGATTCGCTGGCCCACTGCGTGCCAAGCCGAGTAGGCTAAATATTTTGTCCCTTGGATCTGTTGCCCGCTGCCGTCTATTCCAAGCAACGAGTTGCGCAAGGGTTATTATATGGCCTTTCTTGGTCGCTTCTCTCATTCCTTGGATCTTAGCCACTTCTTCAAGCCCTATTGTGGAGATTCGGCCAAGGAAATTGAAAGTACACGTGCAAAAGAACACAATATTGGCAAGCCACCACAGGGGCAACCATGTAACTTCATGATTTCCGCATTTCACTAGTAATTCTGCAGATACCACGGCCTCTTGAAGCACCCATGCTCTGGTCCACCAGGGTCGCCTCAATATGTTCGTGACCAGGAATTCCAAGCTCTGACGTTGATCTTCGGTGTTTGTCAATTCCCGCATGAGCATCAAACTCTCTTCAACAGATACTCCGTCACTGGGACTTTGATCGTAAACCTGTTGAGCGAGACCAAATAATGACTCGGCACGTTCGTCCCCGTCACCAAGCCATATAATTGTCACATTACTTCCTTGGTAGATATCGCGCATAATGCTTACTTGCGAAGCACGCTCTTCCAGGTCCCGCTGGTTGATGCATATCGCGTCAATCCACATAGTCCGTGGAGTGTCCCGGCGTAGATGACGGAGGGCTGATTCGAGGTTTGCCGTAGCTTTGAAGTTACTTCCGTTCACAATGATATTCTTCGTATTCGTGTGGTCTCCCCAGACATAGAAGAGCGTCTCATAGGGTTCCGAATCGGCTAGCGAAGTTTCTCGGAGGGTGCACTGGATGTCATCTGTCCATTTACCAGGTTCGATGGTAACGAGACGGATTTGATTCAAAGTAGAGTCCAGCTTATGATACATTTCCTGGGATTGTGACATAGTTGAGATCAAGTATCGACCAATATTTAACGTCAGTTATTGCGGGGAGGAAAAAAGGTGAGCTGAAGGGGAGACGCGGCACACTGCATCCATTGTGTTCTTAGGCACCAAATGAAGCCTGACGTGTCTGGACCCACCTTCCTGCAGCTGGGAGGCTATTTATCTTATAAAGGCAACCGCATGGTACGTGAAATGTGCTTCTCTCTACTCCAGTTCATTCTGTATATTCCAGATATTAATTGTTCTATTCCATGTATTCCATCCGTTCCTGCTGTCTATGTTTCTGAATTGGTCTTTTCGTACTTTTAGTAGACCTAGTTGTCACTCTTTGCATGAATGTCTGTCGACACAAATGAGATGATCTATATGATAGCCAATCCAATTATTTCCACTCATTCTATAAGTTACTCTATTGTATCTGGTGAATCCCGCTGTTATCAATAAGATCCCTGAATCTATATCCTCCGTCCTGGGGACGATAGGGCCGGCTAGATATACTACCGACAAGTACATTCTGCGGATTGTTTCTTGTAGGCCAAGTTTACTATCCAGTATCTGAAACGACAGAGTAGTAGGGAGTAGGCTGCAAGTCAATAGTCTTGTTCACAATCCACCTTTCGAGCATGATTTCCGTAGTCAATGCCATATCGCACACTATCTACAGCACGTTATATCTACTGAGTAGACAGACAAACTTTATGCTAAACAATTATTCCAGCCACTGCCCCCACTTCAGATAGGAACAATTTATAAAGCTATCAAGAATACTCTGACTAGACTGAAGACTCTTTACTCGATAAGTCATATTCACAATGAGGACAGAGGCCGGGGTAGTATTTGTGGTATAATTCGTCAGACATTGTATCCTCGTTATTTTCTATTCTTCTTTTGATTCGATGCCGTTCCATCATCAAAAGATCAAGTCATCTTGTTCCAATTTGGCCCCACATTCCCGGCTTAAGATACATATGTTAATATAGTGAACTGATAATTTGAATGTAATTGCAGCTGTGGTTGTGACGAAGATACCGAAGCTGAGTCGCATTTTTCAATGATCGCACAAAGTTTATAGTCTGGCAGTGAACATTATAGTATTCCGGTGTTGTTAAATTCAACCAAGCCTTACGACAGTGCTTCAAGCACTGCTACAACTACCTACTAGTTACGATACTATCTCATTTCCAATACAGACAGGGCTTGGGCATCATGCGATGATATTCAGATACCTTTTTGGGCAGGTAATCTCACGACGCTATTCAGGCCTAGTACTACAGGGGGCAGTCGGGATTGAAACAAGGAGCCTAGACTCCCAGTCAATGCAATGGCAGTGGTGAAAGGTAGGTAGTAGGTAAGCTGAAGATGCAGACTGCAAGTGACTGGGCGAGCATGTCATAGTTTACCACTTTTTCTTGCTTAACCAGCAATAGATGTCGTTACATATGTATGCCAGATCACGTAGTAAATATTAATTTTGTTGATATCGCATAGCCTACACCTTGAACACGGCAATATGCTCGTCCATGCCAGACCAATGTACAGAACACTATCGTTGTCTGAACAATCGAGACAGACCTGTCTAATGTAGGCAAAAGCTTATACACAACACCAATGCCTCGAATCCCTCCCGGCAGCTTCCAGAGTTAAAAATTCAAGGTCTTCTCTGTTGAGATTACCATCTCGGAATCTTGAACCCCCCTGGAACTTTCGACTGAAATACACCCCGAGGATCAAAGCTCCTTGACACGCGCTGCAGGAATTTCACGCTATCCTGTCCATAGCTAGCAATTGGCTCTTGAAACTCACCCGCGTAGTTCAAATACTTGAATGGATGGTATGCATCTGTCTGCTTTGCCCGCCCTTCAATTCCCGCTATGAGCTCCTGTGCCATCTTATTGACTTGAGCGTCATCAGCCTCATCATCCCACGTGGCACTCAGCAGGACAAACATGAGAGAGCCAGAAGTTTTGGATAGCCCCAAGGAATTGTCTGTACTATGCCGGGCATAAATGGCCGGAGGCAGGGGCTGGAGGGATAAGGACCAGGTGAGTCCGGGTATTCGCTCGATGCCCGTTAGGCTGCTGTTCCATTGGTGCCATGTCCCATTGAGTGTTTCGAGATCAGGATGGTATGTTGTGACTAGCCAGAGCTCACTGTGCGGAACAATATGTTAGACACTGCTGAACAATTGTCTTCGTCCAACCGAGACCGAAGAAACAGATCAATGGATGAAAGTAAACCTACCGGTACCCATCGGGGGAGAGTGCACCACCTTCAGCCGCAACATCAGTTATAGTCTTAAATCCCTGCGAGTCGGCTAGGGAAGGGATGGTACTGAAGGTAGCAAAAGCAGACGGGTTGGCCTCGGGCTTGGTGTAAACAATGTTATTGGAAACCACAGCTCCTGTTGTGGGTGTCCAGGCAAGACTAACAACCAAGGAGGAGAATTCATCATATGTGTCGGGCTCACTGAAGGCAGCCGTCGCCTGTAGCTGCTCATCGATGGTGTCAATCGAGTAGTAAACCCTCCCTGCCCAGATAGTTTTATTCTGTGCAAAAGCGGAGAGCTGCACATGGGTGACCACACCAAAATTATTCGACCCCCCGCGAAGGGCAACCAGCAGATCATAGTTGCTCTGTGAGTTAGCATGTACAACTGATCCATTAGCAAGCACCACTTCATAATCAATGACTGTATCACACGTCCAGCCGACTCGTGGAGAGAAATACGACATTCCTCCTCCGGTACTCAGGCCGCCCACGCCAACGGGGGCATCGCGGCCTCCAGCGACCATCAGGTTTAGTGGTTCCAGAGCCGCATAGACATCTCCCCACGTAGCGCCGACACCGACGGTCACTGTCCGGTCGTCATTGATGGTGATGGTGTCGAGGGCGCTCAGATCGATCGTGACTCCACTAGCAATATTGGCGGCCCCCGCAAATACCGCATGGCCACCGGAGCGAATGGCAAACTCGCCACAAGTGGTGTCCTCGGTCGTGAGATAGCGAATTGAATCAGACACTTCAGAGACTTCAATGGGCGATATAATGCATTTAGGTAGTATTTCTGACTCTTGAAGAGAGAAATAGGAGGAGAGAGAGGCATTGTATCCGGCAGAACCGGGAAAGAAGGTTCGATTGGGTCCGAGAAGCCCATGGAGGCCAAGGCACTGTCAGGACAATAGGTTTTGTTAGCTACGAATTTTCAAACGACAGAGACGGTAGAAAAGCGAGGGTGATTCACACAAGCTCCCAAAGAGGCGAAAGCCATCGCTTCAAAACCTGATCGATATTGGTGGGATGCAAACACAGTTTAAGCGTAGGATTGAAGTCAGTCTCCAGATTCTCAAAAAATGGCTGCTTTATATAGTAGAGGAGCGGCGGTCAGCCCAGGGGGCAAGCTTGCTTAGCTCAAACAGCGACGTCCGGTAATACGAGATGAAAGATAATTTAGTTCGAAGGCAAGGGTACTGTTGATTCGTCAATTTTTTTCATGGAACTCCAACCAACGGGGATTTCTTGCAGCGCAGAGAGTACAGGTTATTGAGTTCAGCTCCACCTTTCAGCATGGATGAAGATCCTCCGGGGCCTAATCCGGACATGTGTCACGCCATGCACTAGTATCGCATAACAAATGCAGGCTAGTAATAAAACCTAATGCTACAGCTGAGATAAGACGCACTCTGTCAGGACCCGAATTAAACAACACGTTGGTAATTCACCCGACTTTCAATGACCTCTCTAACCACTGTGCTACCACAAGCTCTCCTGAAGTGCAACAGGAATGAAAAACAAAAAAAGAAAAGAAGAAAAAAGAAAAGGAAAAAGTCATCTTCCTCCATTCCAGCTCTTCTGCTCAGGTAATACGGAGAGTGCTGCCGTGATGCGAATATCAAAATCTTTCTGAAGGAAGATACCATGACATCGACTATTCCACGGCCGCTGAGGCCGCTGCGTAACCAGGTCCCAGCGACGGAACAGCTCAACCACCACCTTACCCATCATCATCTGCGCCAGCCGAATTCCCAAACAGCGCGTACTTCCCCAGTTGAATATGAGCTCGTGGACCCGATCCATGCGTTGTCGCTGCTCGGGCGTTGCGTCCAGCCATCGTTCGGGGCGAAAAGCATCAGGGTCCGGCCCGAAGACCTCGTTACGCAACAGACCCGGAAGGTTGAGCCCTATATTTGTGCCTTCAGGGATATAAACTCCGTTTAATGTATCGCCACCTGATGGAACTACGCGCTCGCGCAACGCAGTGATGGGTGGGAATACACGCAGCCCTTCGAGGATACATGCCTGAAGGTATATCAATGCTTTAGTCTCTCGTTCGGTCACAACAGGGCTAGTCAGGGAGCCGTTGGCATCTGCTCTGCGGATCTCCTCTGTCAACCGCGCATACACAAGCGGATTGCTGATGAGGTGAAGAAGTAAAGCGCGGATGGAAGTCGCGGTCGTGTCGGATCCTGCGAAGCTGAGGTAGAGAAACAGTGCTACGTTTAGTAAGAGTGTTTGGAGAGAATAAAAGGGGAAAAAAAAAAAAAAAAAAAAAAAAAGGGGGGGTTCTAGGTGACGGTGAAATTTGAGATCAGAGAGGGAGAAGGGAGTGGGACTGACAGGGCAATTGTAACTTCGGAAACAGCCAATGAACCGTCGACGCCGTTGCGCAGCCAGGAATCCAACATTGTTTCGTTATGCTTAGGTAGAACGCCCTGCGCCAGGCGGGCATGAACCGTTTTCTGTGCAACCTATAGGTATATGTCAGGACGACAGTGCGTTGATGTAAGGGGAATGTGGCGAGCTTTCCGCGCTCGGTTGAGAGGGTAGGGAGAAGGGAAGAAGCGTGTCTTTACCCCAAGAATTGCGCCGATGCCGTCCCGGTCCTGGGGCGAGGGTAACACCCGACGCACGATCGGTATGCAGGAAATCATCTTGATCCATGCATTGATTTCAGTTAATACAGCAAACTTCTCCACAATGGGGAGACGGGTTTCCAGGACATTTTGGAATCCGTAACAGTCCTCATGTTCATTGATGAAGCCCACGGAGTGGCCAAGAACCAAGTGGCAGACCATGTCGAAAAGCAGCCATTGCATGCTACGCGCCATGTCAAATGCAACATAGCGGTCGGATGTCGTCAGAGCATGCTTCTGGAGGTAGTTGAGCCAGAACAGTAGGTTCTGGTCAATAGAATCCTCCATCGTGGGGAGGTCTTTGCCTTGATACTTTTAAGAAACAAGTCAGCTTCAGAGATACATTCTTGTCCAGCTCGGAGCTTCCGCGTATACTTGGCTTCTCTACACAGGTCTCGAGTGGTAGATATATAGAAGGTAATGACCAACCCCAGGAGCCATCTTTGCCCTCAACGCATCATGCTTCTGCCGATGGCGTTCAGTGATAAGGTTCGCATTGTGGGGGTCCAAACGTAGAGCATCAAACCACGGGCCCCGGTTATACTTTGACTGGACTCCCAGGATCTTTCGAAACGTGAGAGGGTCGTTAGTGATAAGATGGTTTGGGCCAACGCGTACGAGGGGACCTAGAAGTTGGTCAATTAGTATTCGGCCTTGCCTCACTACCCTGCAAGCCAGTCAGATAATATTACCGTATTTCCGATTGACTTGAAGATATATTTCCGCACATCGCTCTGAGTAGAGAGCTTTGAAGAGCCATAGACGAGTATATGGCGCCCACCAGGGTCCGGGGATCTTTCTCAGATGCAATTTAGATCTAACCAACCAGACAATAGCGATGATAAATCCGATAATCCAAAGTAGTATACTGGTCAGATCCTGTCCAGTAAAGGCTTTGAAATCATCTGCATGGGCTGCCATATCGAGCATACGCACAAGGAGTCTCGCTGTACCAGCTAGGATCTGGTATGAGAAAGGAAAAGAAATGAAACAAAGCTAAACACTATAGACTTATGTACAGCGATAGAGGGGTGCAATCTATATGAATATTCGGTATTCCATCGCTTGAATTTCCCATCTAACCTCTCCTTCCCTAGCACCATCACGGCTGCGGGATTTTCCAGTGGCTTCGTAGTTATCACAGCCCTCTACAACCATCGATTGGGGCCAGGTAGGCATCACGCTCTAAATCTCACGTCGGCCGTCTTGCGCATAAACTGTCGAGATCCTGTACTGCACTGCCGCAGCACTTTGCAGCTCAGCTGTGGCCCTAGCTTTGGTGGTAATTTCGTACCACCGTTTTTCTAATTTACCGAAACAAGATATCCTGTAATGATACGGTTTTTCCAGGCAATTTGGGTTAGCCTTTAATTAAGCCAAATGCGTTGCGGAGTCAAGTCCGGTGCTAGTAGCGTCGGGCGGGTGATGCACCTTCTCTATCGAGTATGATGTCTATCTGTACTCCTAACCTACTACATACTTGCAGGTCCGTGCAAATGCTACCGAGAGTGACTCGGCTGCGGGAAGTTTTGTGAACTACTATAGGCCAGGGTCTCTAAGATAGGGGATGTTCTGGCTCCTGGTAACCAACACTCTGACCAAAAGTGGGTCCGCCCATCGGTGAGACTACGGTGGACATATACATACTACTCCGTAGATAAGAGTCCAAAGCTGTACCAAAAAAGTGTGAGATATCTGTCAATGCCGATCCTTATATAACATCCCTGCTCTTCTCTAGCCTCTACCACATAGCTCCGCCCAGTCCCCGCAATTCATGTCTAATCAAGGCTTACCAAATGCCAGCGGGCGCGGCTTGCCCCATGTATCAGAAGGCAAGAACCGCCAAGCCCCAGCATGTTTACGCGCAAACAAATAATGCACGAAGTGAGTGGACAACGGTGGCATAGCGGGCCATTGGTTTCCCCCTTCAAATGTCACATCACGGAGCCCGAGAACCATAGGCGGGATAACATTCTAAAGGCGGTTTCCGTTTCGTTAACATAGTGTCGTGGAGAGAGAGAAGGTGGGGGCGGTGCGGTGGACACGGGGATGCTTACCTTGTCTTGTTTGCCTGCCTCAGCCTCACACTCTTTATAGATTCTGAGAAGAGCTGGCCCGTCATAAGGTGCCATGCTCATAAGACTGGTGATCTCATTTGCAAGGTGCTCGCGAAAATTAGGCGCCATCTGTTCGATTAAACCGCGCACGGTTGAGGCTTTGTAGCTAGCAGGCTCAGTCTTCGTCCCATAGTCGAGGAGTTGCTTCAGAATGGGCTGGAAGCTATGATGCTCGTGCACATTCCCTTGTAAGAAATTGGGTTGCTCCATCACCCCTTCGAATTGAGGGAACATCTGCTCTTCTTCCAGGGTGTGATGGTGGGATACCCATCCAGCCCAGCTGCGGAGGAATACAAGGAAATCGGCAACGTCTTGAGGTTCGGTTACCTGCTCCGCTTGAAGATAAAGGGCATTTAGGCCTCGGAGCATAGCATTGTGAGCGAAGGCCATCTCATTGGCAATGTAAAGAGCCTCGTGTTGCGACTAATAGATGTTACTACATGGCCATGCGTCTTCGTTGCTCTTCTCGCTCTTCTTTTTCCACCTCTTTTACAACGAAACACCATCATATGGTAGTTGGGCCGGACGTAACCGAGAGGTACTACTCACAATGTCTTGTGTTTTGGAGGGCGTTTCGATCAAGGGCCAAGGACCATCGGCCCACGGACGGAAGGATGTGCCAGTAGCGGGAGCCATGATTCAGAGATGTTATCTGTTACAGTGACAACTATCGAACTGAAGGGCGGTTAAATATTATGTGTGAGGAAGTGTGAACGTGAGAGGAAGAGGGGATTTTCGTGTCGGCGACTAGCGGTGACTAGCCAATCGATCCTGATGAATCCTGTCCTACGAATAAATGGCCTCTTATGTCTAATTTGCCTCAGCCTCGAACCGTCTTTGTGCTAAGGCAGACTGACGCTGCATGTCAGATTATAGTAGAGTTTCCGGCCCGTAATTTTGCGAATGATGTAACTAACACCGGGATTCCCAACCGAACCAAGAGTTACTAGTAACAAACAGACGGTATGTAATCGTAAGTTACAGATTTGCCAAATACAACAAGCAAATCCATCCAGTTGAAAGCCAATTGGATGAATGCCCGGGAGAGTTATAATAAAGACATTACGGCTAAGAATGCACTAGTATCTGGACATACAGTAGCCTCGTTCCTAGTAGGTCTACTCCGTATCGATTACTAGATCACATATTACAATCCAGACTGACTGTTCGGCTTGAGTTCTTATTATCGTGACACCTGCATAGGGGCGTCAAATTAAGCGACAGCAAATAATATTGATCATCTTTCGTCTCTTTCCCCAACATACGTGGAAAATCTATTAATATAACTCTTCTATCTAATTCATTCCCCTCCCATAACCGGCCGAAAAGACTTTATGAGTACACACAGCGTTTACTAGGACAAGAGAACTTGTATATCCTTGTAGCCTTGTCTGATTTTCATACCATGGAGTGATCGACGCGCCCCCATCCACCAGGTGAGTGGTTTATCGTCGATGTGTCCAGGCCAAGTTGGAAACTTGGAGTGACACGACTGCCTGCCTCATCTACTGGTAAGATCCCTGATGTTTAGACCCTGCTAGTTCCGTTAAGGAAACACTTCAACAAGTCATGCAACTGGCAAACTCCACTCGGAAGGACGCTTCCTGCAATTTATTCTGTGAACTTCCCAGTCTTTGCACAATTCGGACTTCTCCCTTCCTATCACTTTTTCTCTCAATCAAGTTCGCTTCCCTTTCCCTTTCCCCGCCATCCCCATTTTCCCGAGATTATAATTGGCAGTTTCAATGCAATGGCAGAGCACCAGTCCTCTTCGCACAAACACCCAATCTCTTTTTGGTTGGTCTTTCTGTCGCTTTGCCTCCTCTCCTTCGTCTCCGCGCTAGATGGCGCAATCATTAGTACGGCGCTACCCAAAGTGACCGCCTCCCTCGGCGGGGAAGCGGACTACATTTGGATTGCCAACAGTTTTACCATTGCGCAGACGGTGGTGCAGCCGTTTCTGGCGCAGCTCTGCGACATCTTTGGCCGGCGCGGCCCCATTTTGGTCTCAGTGGCTCTGTTCCTCCTGGGCAGCGGACTAGCGGGAGGCGCCTCCACTGTGGGACAATTGATCGCCGGTCGCACGGTTCAAGGGCTCGGCTCGGGCGGCATCTACATCTTGGTGGATTTGATTGTGTGTGATCTGGTGCCTCAACGTGAACGGGGGCAATATCTAGGGATTGTCCTATCCTTAGCTGCTGTGGGTGCGGTTCTCGGCCCTGTCCTGGGAGGCGCCTTGGCCCAGGCGAACTGGCGATGGGTCTTCTATCTCAACCTCCCCCTGGCAGGGCCGGTACTTTTGTTCATGCTCTTCTTCCTGCGGCTCGATACTCCTTCACTCCGGGCCACCGAGGGACTATGTGCATCCCTTCGTCGCGTCGACTGGACAGGTAATTTCATATTCACCGGCTCGATACTGGCTCAGCTGCTAGCCTTGGTGGGAGGAGGCACCCTTCACCCTTGGTCGTCAGCATCGACGCTGGTGCCCCTAATCATCGGCGTTGTCGGATGGGTGGCCTTTCATGTGTATGAGGCCCTCCCTTCCCGATGGTGTCCTCATCCATGCATGCCACCTCGCCTGTTCGGGACGCGGAACAGCTTTGTGGGCTTCATACTGGCCTTCGATGCTGCCCTCTTAATGCAGTGGACACTCTACTTCCTTCCGATATATTTTCAGGGTGTGCAGCGCAAAACGCCTCTGACCTCTGGCGTCGACCTTCTCCCCTACAGCTCTTTCCTTATCCCCTTTGCCATGGTAGCGGGGGGTATCATGTCTCGTACGGGGGCGTACCGGCCACTCCATGCTACAGGCTTTGGCGCACTGGCCCTCGCTCTGGGCCTGTTCACCCTTCTGGGACCACAATCGCCACGGGCCGCCTGGGTTTGCGTGCAGCTGCCCGCCGCGCTTGGGCAAGGCTTTCTGGCCACGACCATCCTCCCAGCCATCCAAGCTGCCCTTAGCGCCGCTGATACTGCCAGTTCCACAGGGGTCTACGCTTTTCTCCGCTCCTTGGCTTTTGTCTGGGGCTCCACCGCACCCGCTATTGTCTTTGACGCCCGCATTGACGTCTACGCCGCTCAACTCATCCCCGACGCTACCTTGCGAGCCAATTTTAGCGGCGGCCAGGCTTACGGTGCTGCTGCTGACTTTGCGGGTGACTGGGGCCAAAACCTCCTCTCCGCCAGCCAGAGGCACCAGGTCCAAGAAATGTATCGACTTGCTCTAAAGACGGTCTGGCAGGTAGCCCTGGCGTTTGCCTTGTTCGGGGTTGTGGTGGGGTTGGCAATGCGCTCGGTAGAACTGCATAAAGAGCTGGATGAGACCGGCTACGGCCTGAAAAATGGGCAGGAGGAGAAGAGAGTAGTTATCGGTGAGAGTAATATAACAGAGGAGGGGTATAGTCATGGAGATGAGATAGATGCTGGGGGCGATAGTAAAAAATGAACAGCCCCATGGTGGAGACCCGGGTCAGTGAAGCTTTCCGTGGTGGACGATTTTGCGCTTCGTGAATTCCGGGCGAATGCCACATCGGCCTACTCTGTACACATTATATCAGTTCTTCCTTTCTTTCCCTTTTTATTATTTCTATTTATTCTTATTACTGTCATTTTCAGTTCCTTGGGTTTCCGTTCATCAAATTTAATTGTTTCGAATGTGAAGAGAAATCACAAGATGGATCTGGTTTGGACTTAAGTGAAGTTTTCTAGTCCGTCTGGTGTATTATGCCGTCCAAATAATGATTGCCCATTCCACTGTGCCTCTTTTGTTGGAAGTTGGAAGCAAATGGATATGGGACTCAGTTACCACAAAAAGATACTACCACTCGTAGTACTATCCACGTTATGCTTACATGCTTTGCTCTAGGTACAACAATATATAATATTGATCATACAAATTTAACACTCGTGCGTCACGCTTGTCAAGCCAGCTTCCATGAAAACATACAAAGAACATAGATACATACCACACAGTCATTAGCACCAGTAGTAAACATATACCTGTCGCTTGTCGTCCGACTCAGCCTCGTACTACAGTGATGAAAATCCACGTATCAGCTTTTTGTCTTCGAGTGAGTCCTCTTCCACCCAAGTCAAACAAGCTCAAACCCCTCCACCTGAGCTGCATTCTTAGGCAGGTTGCTAGACGAATTGTGAGGGCAGTCGGAAATGTGATAAGGACCTAGTTTATCCGGCGATCCCTGGCAGTGATGAGAATCCTTGGGCGTGGTCGACGAATTTGACCCAAATGACTTTGCCCCGTCACTGCTGCCGTACTTGCTGGCATCCCGCGATAGGCCAAGCAACCCAGCTATGGTCCCCGTTAGTGGGGAAAGGAGGACAGGCCACGGTCGTCGCCTGGAAGGTACGCTGCTCGTACTCCTCGAATTTGTGCCGTGACTGTCATTTCGGTGCATTAGTCGCCACACACCTGGCGAGCAACTGCAGATGATAGCGATGTTGAGCTCCAGAATGCTGCCGGGCCAAAGGAGGGAAGGAAATAAGTCAGCCAGTCCTTGGAATAAGTTCGCTTAGCGTCCCCACGAGCGCCAAGAGCATCACGGTGGGGAAAGGGGGGGGGGGGAGAGGAGGGTTAGGACTTACGAGGTAATGTCGTAAGCACCTTCGTTCCAGTCCGTATCAGTTCCTACTTCCAGTTGGACGCGGTAGTACATGCTAATACAGCTGGCTAGTAGAGCGCTTAAAGAAGGATACGTTTGTTAGTGAGAGAGGATTTCTGTGTACGCCGTAGCATCCACAAATGAGCTGCCAGATGTGGGTATGGAACGTGGGGCCGGTAGGACGGCCGGCGGGTTTGTCACGTACATGCAGCCGACGCCAAACACCAAGGCAATGTTCAGTCTCTTCTGCCGTGATAGCTTCAATTTCCAGATAATAGGCTGGGGCAGGACTAGAGCGTAAGCGTCCAATAGGATATTCCCTGCACCCTGTACAATTGCATCCGGCAAGGCCATCGAGCAGCGGTCGAAGGTGTCCATGTCGATGTACGAGTGGCCCGCGCGCGGAGCACAAACAACAGCCGTCAGAATGAAGGTATGGATGTATAGGAGGAAAGCCGCTATCAAGCCAGCCCAGCACGCCTTAGAAAAATGGCGATGAAGTGGCGCATCGAACAGACGACGATAGAGCACAAATACCGGCGCCCGTGAGAAGAAAAAGGCGAGCGGGTTGAACAGGTTCTGCGCCAGCCGTAATCGCCAGTATTCCTGGTCGCTATACAGCCACGATAAAGGCACATCCCACATATGCCGAGCTGCGTAGCTTACTAGATGGCCACAATATTCTTGAGAACTCGACTTATTTGCCATTAGACGGGGCTGGGGAGATGCTTACAGTGGATAAGAAAGCCCATATAGGCAAAAGTGCAGATCTGTCCCGAATCAGAAAGAGTTAGCTATTTCAGGAATAATGGAGAATGCGGATGTTTCCGCGCTATTATAGTAGTACCACTGCAAGTATACACAGTACTAGAGTAACCGACTAGTCAGCGCGACGTCAGGAAGAGCGGCATGTACAATGCTTAGTTGGCTCCTCTTTCTGTGGGTGGCTTACCATCGTCCGTAGCAACCTTCTGAAAGCTTCGAAAAACCGAATAAAAGCGAAGAGAGACAGTGATTGTGGTCAAAGCATAGAACACTGCAGCAAATCCGATAATAGTGGATTGTAAAGACGGGGGATTGCCATATAGATTGGGAGTCACCCCGGCAGGTGCGGTTCCCGCAGGAACCTGAGACAGATCTGTAGACTCAGAGGTGGCTGTCATGATTGACACACTAAGCAAGGCTGTCGGGGTATTGATGAAGGATTGCATACCTTCTCAAAAAGACCGGTGACTCAAGAGACATCTATATACAGCGCAGAAGGCTAAAGGTCTATAGTGCAATCTGTGGCTATGCCGCGAAACAAGGCAGACTTGAGGAGATGATCGTGTCCTAGAACCTGAAGGGAGGTCCGGGGGCCCAGACAGGGATCGGTTTCAAACAATTATCTTAGTTTGATATTCTTTGGGTCTTCAAGAGGCCATTGTATCCGTCCTCTTTTCTAATTCATACTCTCACATAGGGTGGGGTCCGTGAGGGGCCAAGAGGGGAGTTTGCGCTAAGACAGCGGCTTCACCTGCTAGAAGTGGATGATCATTTGGAAATTGCAAATTTACCACGTTTTTAAATGCGGTATTATCGACTATACACACTAGAAAGTTTACTAGAGTCGCCAGTCTTTGTAATACGGAATATTATACGCTACCAGACTTAGTATATCGCAACGGCGGAGGTTGGTCTTCTCGCTTCGACGCAACCTCAAGTTCAGGTTCTAAATTCCCTCATAGTAAACCGGAATGGTGTAGTCGGGAAAGGAAAGGATGGATTTGTGACTAAGACATGATGGGGAAACTCTCTTGGGAAAAAAAAAAAAAAAAAAACCACCACCACCAGTGCTCATTTGCCATCCCGCGCAATCTGGAAAGCATGACATCCACAGATAGATGCTACATTTAACTCCTTTCAATAATCCAAATATTCCTTTTACTCTTTTTACTTTCTACTTCTCAAACTCTTAGTCACATTTCTGTGTAAAAATAGTGCAATTTGTCGATTGCTTCGCTATGGACTGGTTGTTCTCTCTTCATACAATTCCTCCTGGGACCGTAGAGAGGCCTCTCGCCTCTGGTGCCATATATGTAGCCATTCTGTGGTACGGCTGGTACCTTTGGCGCTTCTACATCATCCCCTCGCTCTATCCTCAAGAGCCACGCGTGCTGCCGTACTGGTTTCCATACATCGGTGCGTGGCTTTCATTCTATCTCTACTTCTATTCCCGGGAGCTCTATTGGCTGACGTGTCAATTAATACAGGCCACACTTTCTCATTTGTACGATGCGCGGAAAATGTATATCGAATTGGAGAGTAAGACTCTTCTGAACCGCCTTCTCATTGTTCAAGGTAACTAACAAGCAACGTGTACATGAACAGTGCCTACTTCCCCGACACCGAGCCCTACAGCGTCATCCTCATGGGAGGCACAACAGTCATCATCCGGGACATCAAAGACCTATCCAGCGTGTGGAGAAACACCAGTGCACTAAGCTACGACCCCTTCACATCCCGCATGCTCATGGCCTTTGGCATAACACCACATCATGTGCGAAACCTGTATAAACCAGATCCAGCGCGTCTGCTTCCCGACGAACAGACACGCGAGCGATCCTTGCTATCGTGTGCCAATCCGAAGAAACTCTCTTATATGCATTTGCAGAGCCAGTGGTTCAAGACGCAGCTACTGCCGGGTGAGCACCTTAATGGATTATTAAATGCTTATCCAGTGTTTTTGTCTCGATTTCTTGATATCTCACTCCTACGTAAGGGTCTGGCTAGGGAGGTAACATCTTTCAAATGTGATGGAGCCAATACTTCGGTGACACTCCCCCTGGGACGCTTCTGTCGCTACGTCCTAGCGCAGAGCGCATTCCGAACCTTCTTCGGCGAGGAATTATTCGAAATCGAGCCGGAATTTACCCGCATCTACCAACGCTGGGAAGACGCCAGCTGGAAGATCTTCTATAACTTCCCCCACTTCCTCGCGCCGGGGTTGCAAGCAGATCGCAAACGTGTTATCGCGGCTCTCGCTGTATATCTGGATCTACCTGAATCCAAGAGAAGAAATACAGCTTGGATCTTCAGAGCTATGAACTCTGAACTGACTAACCTGGGCTTGCCCGCTCATGACCGCGCTGGCCTAATCATGATGATCTGTTGGGCGTATGTTTATCCGCCACACCAAAAGTTCTAACACTAATGAAGCTAATTGGTAAACGACAGGATAAACAACAACGCCCACTACATCGCCTTCTGGATGTTTGCCCATATTCTCACCAACCCAACCCTAAAAGCATCCATCGAGAGCGAAATATCTGCCTGCTTCCCCAGCCCAACCTCAGACCAAGGATGCGACATGGAGAAACTATCCAGCGCATGTCCCCATCTCAACGCCCTCTGGGCCGAAGCCCTTCGGCTATACAATTTCTCAACGGCAGTGCGTAAAGCCGTAGATGACTGCTCCGTCGGGAGCAAAGTCATCCACAAAGGAGACCAGGTCTTCGGTCCCGTGCGTAACTTTCACTTGGCTGAGGGTGTCTTCAGCACTGGAGCCGCTGAGTTTGACTATACTCGCTTCCTGAAGAACCCTAAGATCAGACAGGCGAAGGAGTATTTCCCGTTCGGGGGTGGGCATACGCTGTGTCCGGGGAGGTATTTTGCTGAGCGGGAGGTGTATTTGTTGGTAGCGATGAGTTTGAGAAGATTCAAGATGGAGGTAACGACTGCTGATGGGGGCGTTGTGGAGAGCCCGATAGTTCCGGACATTCGGATGGATTTGCCGTCGTTGGCGGCGGCAGCGCCGGCGGGGGATTTGTTTGTGACGGTGAGGAGTTGAAGTTTTTATACGTGGTGAAGGGTGGAATATGGGTGGGGTGAAGGGATATGTCGGAGATGTTGTCAATATTCCCCAGCAAGTAAATAGTTGTATAGTCTGGTTCCTCAATCATGGAATATTTGAATGTGTATAGATGGAGCATGTTCGAAGGTCTCTCGTCTGTGGTGGCCACTGCATCAGTCAAGGTGTTTTTGGCAAGACACCACACACTTACATCACATATTTGGATTCCTACATCGTATAATTTCCTTTATCAATTCCAATTGCATCACCTGGTCAAAGAACAGGAACCCAATCAATCCTTCCCTCCTAATTCCTCATCTAGTAATCCGTCAGTTCCCCACCCACTTCTATAAAACATACCATCTTAAAAGCAAATCCAACCCAAAACATCAAACAAACAAACAAACTACATACCCAATCCCCCCCTCCCCCTCCAATACACCAACCAAACAGTAACCACATCCAAACCCAACACAGGGACAATCCCCAAACACATATCCACCGCTTCCTCCGTCCATCCATCACCATAGTAAGCATGCCAAACTACAAAAGGCAATGTAACAAGGTGCATGGCAATAAACCCGACAAGTTGGATAGTGATATCAGTCGACATGCCGAAGAAGTAGAGCTGAATCCACACAATCATGCAGGTTCCTAACCCTTCATATAGATTATACCAGAAGGGGCTCCATTCTGGGGATGGGATTAGGTAGAAGGAGAGGGTTTCGAAGAGGGATGGGAGGATGGTTCATGGCATTGATGATGGTGATTTGGTTAGGGAGTTCGATATAAGGTCTTGGGGAATGAGAGTTTGTAATGAATGGGAGGGTAGTTCTTGGTTTTTATGGGGTAGGGATATCTTTTAAAATGTTCATTAGAGCTGGACCCCTGAAAGGTCTATGGTAGGGCTGAATCTCGTAAGTTTTTGATGGCCTGCGGATGGATCCTCGCTGTGGGGTAGGCCGAAACCTGGCAAATCGGCGGCTGCACTATGAATCAATATCGCCTTGAACTGGCTCAAGTGGACCGTTTATCGGCAATACGTCGGGTCCATTTATTTACTTCCGATGGATATACTCTGTGCGAAATGATTCAACGTGATCATCGGTGAATATCAAGAACTCGTGATGAAGTATCCAAACCTATGGGCATAGTGATGTGCCATATTAACAGTGAAGTTTTCTCTATCTCTTTTATATTAAGCATATCATAGAGGAGAGGTAAATATACATCTAGATCCCTTTATACAGTCCAACCACAGACCCTGTCTAACCCTCGAAGACATTTTGACTCAACTCCACACCCATATCCTTGGCCATCCCCTGCATCTGCGCCTCGATGCTATCTTCCATACCACCACCAAGTCTCAAGAACTGCCGCACCTTCGTAAACCAGAAAAACAGGTCCGTGCTAAACAGCACTACGCGGAACAGCAGATGGCGACCAAAGTTCCTCAGCTTCTCCGATGCCGACAAGTCCGGAGACTCGACTAGCGCGCGGGACGCCCAAGTTCCGGTAATCTTGACGCGGTTGACGGGCGAGCCCAGGAACTGGTTGTTGGCCTGAACAATGCGAAGGTTGCGGCCAATGAAGATCAGTGGGCGGGGCCATTTGGACTCATCGCCGAGTATGTCACGAATTGCTTTGCGGGCAGCTTGCTGCATTTCGTAGTGGCGCGTGGCACGCTCAGATTTGCTGAGCCCTTCGAAGGAGCGGTGCGTCGAGAGGTCGCCGCCGCGGTAAGGTCGCATCAGGGTCGCAGAGGCGAAGAGGTCAGCATTCTGTACGCCCCAGCCGCGGACGATGGAGTTAAGGGTGGTGTTATCGAAGGTGAGAAGGGCTTTCCAGAAGCGGGCGTACTGGTGTCGGAATTCGGTGTCCATGTGGATGTAAAGTCCATGATCGATGAGGACAAGCTCCGGATGACCGGAAGGAGTCCGGCGGATGAAGATGTTGCCTGGGTGCGGATCGCAATGGACTATGCCCCAGAGGAACATTTGTGCGGAGAAGAGGTCTACCATAGTAGTCATGACTTCCTTAAGAGAAAGGCCGAGACCAGCGCGGGCGTATCCACCGCGCCAGTGATCGCGCTCGGGCTTAATCTTGGTCGTAAGGTTCGGATTGCGAGCCACTTTGGCGACAAGGTCTTCGGTATTGCGCGCATCGAGAGGCGTGCCATGGCAGCCTGGGGTGCCGCTGCGCCAACCGCCACGCCAAGTCCGCGTGATGGAGTCCTTGTCCCAGAGGCGGACACCTTCAATCCACTCGGCGGTCATGACACGCTTAGAGCTGAGCTCGCGGTAGACCTTCGGAATGTACACGCGGCCGCGGAGACGGGACTCCCCGGCGACCAAACGCGCCATGTGCTCGGAGTTGTCGGCCTCATTTTCAAAGTCGGTCTCAAGGGAGAGACGCTCCGACACATAAGGAACCAAGCTGTAGAATGGGATATCAAAGGTACGGCTGTAGATCCAGGCAACGACTCTGTTCTCATTAGCATTTTGTGTGCGATGCAGGGTGCGGGGTGGGAGCTTACTTGAAAGCCCACAGATCCCATTTCAGCTGTTGAGCAATTTCACGTTTCTGTATCTTTATTGCTACCTCACGACCATCCGGAAGACGCGCCCAATGTACCTGTGCTACACTGGCACTCGCGCGCGCAGCCCGCTCCATAACACCCTTGCCGGGCTCACCAGAGAAGGAGACGCCAAAAACCTCCTCAGCGGAGCGGCCAAAGTCCTCGCGGATGACCTTCTCAACATCATTCCAGTCGTTCTGAGGGGCGTCATCGAACATGCGCGAGAAAATTTTCTGGAATTCCGGGGGCAGGATAGCGGACTGCATAGCGATAGCCTGGCCGATCTTCAAGTACAGACCGCCATTGTGACGCAGGAGGTCGGACAGACGCTCAGCATTGCGGGTGTGTACGGCGTTGATGTCTCTGGCCAGCGGCGGGTTGGGACGGAAGTTTATCTTGTAATCCAGGGCTACCAGAAGACCCAAGCTGAAGGTGCGAGCCGTCCGTGTCAGAGACGAGGCGTAGAATTGGGTGTCGAGAACGTAGACGGTGCCGGTGGCTAGAGAGAGGTAGAACAGCCGACGAAGCCATTTTCGGGTGCGATCGTAGGTTTTGGCCTTGGTAGGTCTACCTAGGGAGGCTGGCGAGGGGGGGACGAAAGGCTGGTAATGGCCTGCCTGGACATATTGACGGAGTTGCAAGAGAGGCTGACGGGGTGCACGAGGGGAGAGATGGACACGCGGGCGAGCAAGCTGGGAGGGAAGGGAGCGCCAGGCGCGGGAGACGGTGGCCGATGCCATCAGAACGAGGAGACAGGTATGAAGATTGTCATGGCGGGGGCATGTAAGAGGACAGTGAAGTCAATGGCGTAACAATGGCGAGAAGTAAGCGGATTTCAAGGAAGCAGAAACAGAGGGGGAAACGCAGATGACGTGAAGGCGGAGAAGGAAGTCAGAGCCCACGATGACGAATTGCCCGATCGGGCCATTCGGGCGGAGAATTGAACCAGGATTCACGTTTTCTCCCATCATTTCCACTCTCTTCAGATATATACCCCTTAGGAGAATATAAGGGGGAAAAATGATATTGTACAGTCCAAATTACCTCGACATATGAAATCAAGGTAGTAGCTGTGGTTGTTCTCTCTGAGATTTCGCTATCAGTGTGGATCCCCTATTGAATCTAACCCTGAACTTACTGTAGAAACAGTAGACCACAGATGTCTGGTGCTACTCAAAGATCATTTTAAAATCAGATACATTATCGTTGTTTTTCCTACTCCAGGCCAAAGCAGAGTGCAGCGACAGAACATTACATGAATGATTCATGTACGATGGAATGTGAACGCATCGCAAAACCGGCATGGTTTTCAAAGAGCACCAATGTTGCTCTTCATGTTCAAGTGAGATCAAGTCTTCCTCTGAGCATAACAGGGATGTCAGTGGTAATTCTAAGTTTTTGGCACGCAAAACAAGACTACTAGTATTTACCGTAGCCCAGTAGATGTACACAGTGTAGGAGTCCGATCTGCGTCCCAAGACCAGAGAGAAAGAGAGCATTCCAGAAGGTCAATATGCCGATTCAGCAAAGCGGCCTACATACACCGAATGAGCAACGATAGGAGCGAGCCGAGTTTCTAAGAGCAATGTGCTCATGCACGGTAACCGGTGTGGCGCCAGGGGCTGTGACCGAAGGTCGGACAGCATGCCCATAATCGTGGCAATCTCCTGCATCAGAAAGGGTGGGATCGACATGATGATAAACAAGTATAGTTGCTCAACATCTGCATACCAAAGCCGAACAAAGCCAGATCACAATCAGACCTGTATATGATTGTCCCTAAAAGGACAGCCCCGAGCATGGGAGGAATGCTTGTTATACACCTGCCGCGAGCTGAATGATCAAGATGGACGAGGGTACTCTGAGATAATGAAGAGCTGGCTGTATACTACCGCTGCAGATACCAGAAATAGACAAGAAGTACACATGTTTAGGATCACTCGTTCTCTAATCTCGCTTCTACGCGCTTCGTACTAACTGAAGCCTTAGCAGCGGTTCATATTGGAGCATAGGGGGAATCTAAACCGGTCCTTATAAAGAATATAAAGTCAGAAGAATGGGGAAAAAACCACACAAAATGCAGGACTTGTTGATCTATATGGGTGGTACGCAGAACTTCGGTTTACTTGCCATCATTGCAAGATGTGACTGTACTTTGACCAAATGCGGATACTGTGATACTCTTGTGCACCATATCAGCGGTATAGTGATTTCATCTTATTCCCAATGCTCTTCACATGAAAACCTGGAAAGTAGGGACGCTTCAAAGCTTATCATCCCTTACTCTGCTTCTAGTAGATGTTATTGGTGTTGATGTGGGTGACTAACAATGTGACGTAGGGTACATAGCATACAATGCATAACCCGCTGTGATTATCAGGTTAACGATAAGAGCTAGACTAGTACTACAAGTTATTGCAAGTTCTCTTGATTACACATACTGCTACTATTCTTCCTCTAGTGAAACTCTCTTCACAAGTTACCCCACAGGACTCTACAATGAACGATTCGAGAAATTTCTTTGTACTTCAAGGTGAATTTTACCCTTTCACTCCATAGGTTTGCTCCCTTAAGTTAGACCTTTTGCTCTCAATTAGAATGTCTATTGTAAGGCTCGTAGACTTCAATGTAAAGCTTAGCGTTTGACCTGCTGCTTTGATACTGCCATGGACTCGAAACGGCCCACAGTAACTCAAGATAAGTCCCTTACCTACATCCATGACAGCAGCTGCCTATCAAAAGACATACGGATGATTGTTCCATGACCCTCCTGTTCGTCCTGACGCGGAATCCCGAAATCTCCAGTTACAAGGCAGTGAATCATCAACTATCTGGTTGTCGGGAGACCGTGCCTACTTGGCGCCAGTCCAATGCGAGTGCCAGGTCAACACAAAGATGCGTCACACAAAGTTCGGCTATCTTTTATATCATAGTTACATAGTTTCTGTGCAGGTTGCTGAAATAGGAACATCTAAATCCCTCGGAAAACTGATCACTTGGCTGCAAAAGGAACCGATCTGCAGGCTGCGAGGCGTGTGCTATGTACAAAGCGTTATGTTTCAGAGGTACTGTCTCCAGAATGGACATGCCACTTGAGACTTGGAGCAATCGCGATACAGAGTGGATATGATCAGATACCTAAATCAAAATTGGGACGGTTGGCTTCGCCCCCTGAGCGTAGTAGGGAAAGCAAACTATTTCGAGGCAATCAATATCTTTTTGGGCAGCCGAGTAAAACGTATCCACCGGAATATCACTGCAGTGTAATCCATGGGCAATGATAACCAGCTGTTCCCTTATTGGATCTACATAAAACTCGAATCCAGAACCGGATATACGGCATGTCGCAATTCTCAAATCAGGTATATAATGGCGATACTCCTTCAGGGTTCGCAATTTTCCCCATTCTTGTCCATCACAGCCATATCGTCTATAGTTCTCTCTTTTAGAAGCCATGAGTTCCATTCTATAACAGTGATCAGTATATACAACTGCGCGAGTCTATCAAAGGCCGAAGTGTTACAATACCAAGCCTATACAAGCTACTTCCTGATTGGGAACTCAAGATTCATCCTATGTACCAGAAAACACGAGATGAATGTCTTGCTCCCTGGGTGCGACGGTACTGAAATCCCCGACATAAAGTCTCATGAAATGGGCCACATTCTGACTTGCAGTAGCTATGTGGATGATGATCTCACAAGGCGAAAGTTTGAACAGGCCGATTGCACTCTGTTTTCTGCTGTTCTTTGCTCGGACACTTCATATGAGAAACTCTGCACGGTGGCAAAATACATGTTTTGGGTATGTTCGGCGCTTCCTACTAATTGTCATACATTCTGACTGACAAAATTTAGTATTTCATCTGGGATGACTGTGAGTGCCCTTCTTCCCACTTATGATGGAATATGCTGAGGAACATGGTTTCCGGTAAGTGTTCGATTGTGGTGCATCAAAGGACGACCGTCACGCGGCGGCTCTCTACCGAGATGCAAGTCTGGAATATTTCAAGTACAATCTTGTCCTAAAGGTGAATATCCAGACTTGTCACAGTTTCCACTTGAGCAGCAAAAGGCATTGCGCTGCTGGGACGAAGTTGGAGCTCACATTCGCCAGGACTGTGACAAAGGTATGCTACATATACCAATATGTATGCTGTATGCAAAGACTGACTATCGAAGAAACTTGCCAAATCCTTCTCGAACAAATGCTGGGATATGTTTCCAGCGTTAGCAACGTTGACAGTTTGTTCAGCAGCAGTGCCATGCCAATGGTGGAGAGTTACTGGCAACGGAGAGAGCGGACAGCAGCTGTGTACTGTGTTATATGCACCTTTCCGTGAGTGTTCTGCTGTGTTCTCCGCTTTCTAATTTTCTTACCAAGCAATCAACAAGCTTTGCATATGGATTCAATATTAGGAGGGCTCACGTGGAGAATGAGCACATGTCCCGCATGTGGAAACATACATCTTACTTGGCTCACATGTAAGTCATTTACCCAATGCTCTTCCCATTCATGGACATTAACTATGGTGTTAATATCGTCAGATCAAACGATATACACTCATTCCAAAAGGAATATGTATGTCATGAGAGCTATCCCTCATATTTTACACTCGACTGACACTGACAACACCAGAATGATGGACAACTGGAGAACCTGATCCCGGTGCTTATGGCAAACACAGGGCTTGATGTTAACCAGGCAATGCAGCTCAGCTACCATATCTGTCGTTTGGAAGTCGAGGGCTTCTGCGCCAGTGCAGATAGGCTCTGTGTGGGTGAGAATGCCCAAGGACGCCGTATACGAGAAGTCTTCATCAATTGCTGTACGGACATGTTTATGGGACTCATACACTGGAGGTATTACAGACCCCTGGCCAAATAGAGAGCCATGGCTGACCTTTACCTAGTTATGTTAGCAAGCGCTGGATCAAGCAAACCGATATCAATCCTGATCAACTATTACATTCCAAGTTGGATCTACTTGGAGGTCCTCGGTTGAACAATATTTGACAATGATGTGGCTGAATTTGAAAGGGTTGTTGGGAAGACGTGAAGGGCCCTCTGGCCAAAAGGTTATTATCAGCTAAACTTATCACTACTATCATGCGGCAGTCCATTTGTCCAAGCGAAGGTTAACCCAGCAATTTATATCGTGGGGTCACTATCGTATTCATTCGACCAGACTGATGAAGTTTTGAAACATTTGCATGCGTGTTTACCGGGTTTTGAGTTGACTTCAATTTTACCGTGATGTCTGAGGAAGGTCATTACTACTACATCAAAAGAAATGAGAATGCACTAGATTCAAGAATATTATGTTGCTCATTTTCTTATTTCCCCCAAACCCAAAACAAATACTACCTACACCCCCAACAACTCCTCCACCCCCACCACCCCCAACCCCCCTAACCCCCCACCCAAACCCCTACAAACACCCGCATACTCCCTCATCTTCCCCGGAATAATGACCTCCCACAACTCATCCTTCTTCAACCACTCCAACTGCTCACGACACACCTCCTCCCTCGCCAACGGCAACAACGTCGGCAAATTACTCAGCGCCGCCCGCACAAACCCCTTCTTAAAGCACGTCCCAAACGCCGCCAACGTCTCATCATCAGAGCAAATATCCCTCCCCTGCAACAATGGCCCGCACTGTCGCTTAATCACATCCGCTACATCATCGCCCAGCCGCACCATCGCCTCCTCCTGCCGCGGGTTATCAACATGTTCCATGAGACTGCGCACCGCCGGGAGGAAGGTATTGTTCCGCGTCCATAGGTCCCAGTGCGGTACGGTGGGCTGGCATCCCTTGTCGCAGACTTCGCGCTGGAATTTGGTGAAGATGTCGTTGGGGCGGCCTGTTAATGTGGTGAGGACGCGGATGCAGAGGGGGCTGAATTTGGCGGTGGTGAGGAGGGGGAGGAGGAGGAAGAGGGTGGTGGTGAGGAGGAGAGACGGCGGGAGGTGGAGGTGGAGGCGCATGGTGGGTGGTGGTGGTGGTAGATGTGATGGCGGCCTGCGCGCTGCATGTAAAATCAAGAAACCGGTCTTAATTAACTCTGTTTTATCGTAGGCTTCGTCATGGGAAAAAAAGAAAAGAAAAGAAAAGATGGGTTGTTAGGAAGGAGGAAGAAAGCAACACCCGCTCAGTTGGTTGTTGGTTTCTCCTCAAACTCCAGATTTCTTGTTACTTCTTTTTCCCCTGATTGATCGACACCCCGCAGAAATCGGTCATCATCCCTCGGCATCCATCTTTCGGTCATGCACCAGCTTTTCGCATCATCAGCAGCATCATTATCAGCATCATCATCAAATTACCAATAGTAATTCAAAAGCGTAAATTGCCTCATGAAAAATTCCAGGGCAATTCCACGCACAGACACCGAATTTGATCTCTCATATTGAAATCATGATCTGATCCTCTCTCCCCAGCCCCTCGGCCCTCTAGAAACTTATCATCGCGGCCAGCGCGGGAACACCCGTTCAAAGTTCTGACAGCCACGCTGCAGAATCTGAAATGAAAGGGGAGCGGCAGCAGCAGCAGCAGGAGCAGGAGCCCTCTGGATCATCGTGACACACAGGAAACTAGTGGTGATGAGCACTTGCAGCAGGCGTCCGATGGTTCGTGCCATTGCATCTGATCTGTCCAGCTGGTGATATGATATGGAATGCGGGGATGGCTCGATTCGGATAATTAGGCATCGGGGCTGCGCGTGTTGTTCGTCGGCCATGTCTCGGGCTTTATCACGAAAGGGGAGAAAGTGAGTGTGGGTTAGTAGATAGCAGTAGTCATGGGATGTATCGATCTGTCTGCCTGTCGGTCTGTCGGTCAATTCCTCACGGGGCGTCTGCAGGGGGTGTTGTGGGATGGGTTTCACGTCCAAACCTGTTCGAACAGGTTCGATCCTGCCAGTCTGTGTTTGTGCGCTGCTGTTGATTAGATTGGGTTTGGGGATTTGGGTTCATCCCTCCCTCCCTCGTTTGTCATGGGCCCTTTCCCCCGTGTGGGTGGAGTCAAGTCGGGAACGAGTTGTCTACTGTACAAGTCTACGGCAGATCTTCGTTCTCCTGAACCATACATACTATCTACTCCGTACTCTATTTCATTTTTCACGTAGTGATGAGGATGGTTAATGGATGATAGATGACCTTGGGGGTGTTGTTCACATGTCTTCATTGATATTATTATGTTACTCATCTGACCCAGTCAGTCAGGTTTAATCAATACCGAAACCGGCCGTGCCTGATTCTCCCTTGCTTCCCATGCCCGAAACTCCTCGCTAAACTCATCCCGAAAAGAAAACTCCCAGTGCAACCGGTGACAAGAAATGTAACAAACAGATAAGGAAATGTCTCAGAGAGTGATCCAGCATGCTGGACAATGTTGAGATGATGTGATGATGTGATGATGTGATGATGTTGGTGATAAACAAATGAAACAACCGTCATGCCAGACGGGTATCGCTCAGTAGCGATGCAGAATCTTGGTGGAAAAAAAAACAGTCGTCGTCGAAGAAAGTCGAAGAATGAAAAAAGTTTATCGACAAAACATAAATGTAAAAGAAGGAAGGCAATCAGGCCTGTCGGCGACGTCGCAATTCGTCGCGGTTGAGTAGTCGCCGAATTCGTGACACAATGCGGCATGCTGTGGAGTCTGCGCAGACGTTAGCGTGGCTCATATGCACCTTGTCTGACAGATCAGACTGGTTGGATTTGAAACCGGAGGCAACCGATGAAGGACGTGTGCACATACCACTGTTCCTGCGTAGCATCGACTTGGTCGAATAATGCTCCGACGCTTCGTCCACTGAAAGGCTGCTGTCATATCCAGCGTAGTGGTTGGCCTTGCACCACGGGTACTCGTCGGTTTGGAGCTGAAGAGCCACGACGTGTGGGTAGAGTGTCCCGAGAGGGTAGAGGATCTCTTCGGTGGAAAGTTCGCGCTTCATCTCGAAGCTCTGGCTAGTCTAGAAGGCATCAGTAATTGGTATTCTATTCCTTTGGAACAAGATCACTCACATAAGGCTCGTAGTTGGTGCGGTAAGGCATGGTGAGTGAGCAAGGTAGCGACAGACGAGTGTGGTGTTTGTAGAGGATAGTGTAGTAGTAGTTGGAAGAGTTGTACAATGCACTGATCAATGCTATTATACACGTTCTGAAAGAGACTTTGTGATGGATGGAGAACGAGTGCCTTCCGTCCGGGAGAAACCTTGATGGTTATATAGCATGAGATAGCAAAGCATGCTGTGGTGGAGGGTGACGGTCAGCCACTCCGTCCGTAATCATTTAGAGTGGGGAAGCTTCAGCGCATGGCAGGGTGACCCTGGATTAACGCTGGGCTTGGCCGGCCTAAGATTTCCATTTTTACTATTTTCTTTTTTCTCTTTAATCTCTGCAGCCTCCATGGCTGGCGGGCATGTCCACTGTGATGGATCTAATCGCCCGAATGATTTGAGTTTTAGCGGCAGTCATGATCTCATCATATCATAAGCCTGCGGGACTAGCGAACCAGCGACCAGGTAAAAACTGGGACGAATCTGTCTAAATCTGACTAGCGTCCTGACGAGCTGGGCCATGTCGGTCCGAAGACTAAGAGAGAGGCTACGATGGAGCGGCTATCCCGATCTCTCAGGTCCAGAATAGACATCCCAGCAAGCAGGTACCTACAAGCATTGTGAGCGCCCACTGAGCGGTTCGGCCAGGTTCGGTGGTCTCCACCCGTCAGGCACGCCAGGTCTCTCTAAACCGGATGAGGAGTAGGCTCGAAGCAGCGGCTGAAGCAGGCGAAGGCGGTGGACCCAGGGTTAGCGTGGACGCCAGGCCTCAACACGACGCTGGATTTATGTCTGACTGGCTGACTGGATGGTCGCTGCTGATCGACGTCCAAACCACCGGTGTCTCCGATGGGCGATGGCTGATGGCCGCGCTGGCAGGCCTTCCCTCCCTCCCCCTCCATCCCCTTGCATATTGGGGAGTCAGGTGCATCGGATCTCCTCCACGTTTGCAGTTCCTGGGGGGTTGCATATGTATGATGACAATGAGGGTAAGAGGGAGCGCATGCCTGTACCACCCAGGGGGGTGTTCGCAATCACCCGCATAAGCCAAGGTCATCAGGACCATGTGTAAGATTGAGAGAGTTACTACTAGTAGGTAATCATGTGTCATGATTGCGTCGTCTATGGGTGCGGGGATGCCAGAGGAGCTGTCACAGATCGGTGTCGACTATTGATTCTCCATTGACTGGGGGGGTAGAGTAGTGGGCAGATTAATTAGTCTGGTCTGGGAGACAACAAGTTGTGGTCAAGGTTAGTCCAGGTCGCCGATGGCCAGGACCACACTTAGGTTTGCAGGCGGTGGGTGGGCTTTGACCCAGACCTAGGACATGGGTAACTCAAGAAGGCACTAGATGAGAGACTTGCTAAACTCACACGGTCGCATATTAGTTTCCCATTGGCGCTGGTCGCTTTATTAAACGCAATCAACGATAGATTAAACCATGGGTGAGCGGGTTGAGGGGAAGGAGGATAAGCGAAGGAGAAGCAGACCCCGGTGCTCTTGGCCATTCCAAATCCTTGGTGTTAGCGTCGCTGGGGTTGTCCAGGTTCCCGGGATTGCAAATCTGTGGTGTAGAGAAACAATGGCCATACATCATTGAGGTGGATGATGGCTACTAGTAATGATCTGGTATAGTAGTAGAGTAATATTGAAGCACTAAGACATTAAGACACCAGGATTGACTCTGTACTCAGTAGTTCAAAGTAGTTCCAAGTCTCCCCCTGCGGTTCCTGGGATTTATCAGGGCAGTGATTAGGTCACGGTTGCCTGGGCAGTAACCCAATGCGGCAAGACGGTGTACCTCAGGCTCAGGTTTCAAAAGGC